TGCTCCACAGGTGCGTGTTGCGGTATAACTCTGTACGTCTGTCCTAGAAGAAGACAAAAAGATAGGCTCTGTGACCCCCTCCTAAGCTAACAAAAACAAACAGAAGTATACTCGTTTGGACTAAAAGGTTTACAAAATAGTGACCAGATATTGGAAAAGCATATGTCACAGAACTTGGTTTATGAAATGGCATCATTGTTTCGAGCAAGAAATCACCTGCTCACCACTGGGACGACGAAATCGTCACTATTTATTGCGTCAGGTGTATTTGCGCTCATGAAGAAAAATCTGAACACATCCTTCTCCCCAAAGTCCTATGTCAAATAATAAACACTTTTTTAAACATCTATGCACAAATAACTCATTTATTTCTACACTTGTATATACACGTTAATTAAACGACGTCAAACCGCATTTGTGATTAGATCTTGATGTCTACACCAACTACATTCATATTTTTTAGGGCTTTATTGAACGATAACTTCAACAATAGTTAATGGAATACGATGGCTCGATCTCACCAAAAACCTCAACGTGCGAAGCTTCCACAGACGGCCGCTTGCGAGTATTCTCAATGTGAGCCTTCAGAAGCTTTCGCTTGCCATAGGGAGCTTGCTTTTGACTACAGCACTGCACGGGCCCGGGAAGCGCGCTGCTGTGGGGAGAGGTTGACTTACAAGATGACGTGTTACATGATCACGTAAGATGGCGTCATTTCGTGCAGCGTGATCACGTAAGATGACGTCATTTCGTGTAACGAGATCATGTAAGATGACGTGTTTGTGTCACGTGATCACGTAAGATGACGTCAGTTCGTATGAACTGACGTCATCTTACGACAATGCCAACAACATTAGTGCCGTCCGGAACCATTGACCTTAGAAACGCACCTCTTCGCTTGAACTGATATGCGTTGATTGTTATTTGTTTCTTTTGCCTACTACAGACCATTCAAAAACTCGCCTTCTGGGTGCCACCAACTTCATCTACTGGGCTGTGAAGCGTGTTCGAGCGTGCGCAATACCTCTCTAGGCCGAAAGATTGTACACTGAGTATGCGTTCACAGCTCAATGACTTAGGCATTTTTCGTTAGGATAGATGCTCCCACGAGAAGACCGTACGAGATATGTGAAGAGAATTGGAACCATCATCACGAACCAGCGCAAGTAGACAGTTATTCAAAATCCAAACACACAAAAAAATACACTCACACAGCGCTGAACTATCAACTGAATTGTATTTCAAACTTCCTCTTCTTCGACCCCAAGGAATAGGTATAAAAAGATATGGCGATCATAGTGACCAGCTCTCCTGGGAGAATTGGAAATTTGAAATGTTCTTGTCCAATCGCATTTTTCTTTGGTTATCGACACTTTTTAGCGTCATCACAAGACGTTCAACCCATAATACACTGGCGATTAAAAAATAAGCACCAAAAAACATGCACCAATTTTCGCTCAAAAATAAACACTGGAAAAAACATACTGTAATCATTACCCATGTCACCTTTTTGGGCGATATGTGAATTTCCAGAAGAACAGCGAGTTATCACCCTCCCCTAGGAATACCCTGACTACAGAGCGGGCGACCCGTTTTTCCCCGCGTTAGATTGCGGGGACCACGAACCGTACGGAGCTCACAGGACGTCCGTGAAAAATAAAAAGGAGGCAAAGAACAATCTACTCTGTGCACGTTTCATCCCCGATTTCCACGACCCCAAGGCCGAAGGACGTTTGTGTGAAGGATAACGATAAAATAAAACTTTGCGTCAAAAAAAAAGCCCGTTTTTAAAAGAAAAAAAAAGTAGAAACAAGCACAACGCGTTGACGGACCGCGTGGTTGTGGAACACCTCGCGGTCCGCTTGCCACAGGACGGTTGTCTTCGACCATTAGCTCCAAGGTGAATTTGCCGCTTGCGAAAACACGGAGACCTACCCACCGAGAACCAGGAAAGCAAGACACGCACACTGACGCCTCGGCGTGCAGAGTGAAACAGGATACGGGCGCGGAATACGGCCGCGGAAGAACACCTCGCACAGTGCCGATCCGGCCGATCTCCGAACGGACGATTTCACATTTCGTGGACAGCGAGCGCCACCGCACGGGAGAGAGAGGTACCTTAAAAACGACGAAAACAAGCACCGACACCTTGGTTCTTTATATTTGCTGTAGTTACGGAACAAATCGACTTACATGAATAATTTTAATATTATTCGATTCCGTAATAAATTTAGAAGGCATTAAGCGCAATACTTCTTATGTTTGAATTTAGATAATTTTGTAAATTCGCTCGAACGCAAGAGTGCCGAATTAGCCGATTTTGACCATTTTCATGATTTTTTTAAGAATATAATTAAATTTATAATGAAACATTTGTTGCGCTTAGTGTCTCGATAATGACTCAATATCTTTAAAGCCGAAATTTTCAAGAAGATCCGCGCAGCCGTTATTATGTGAGAATTTGTTTAGGTTGGTGAAAAACCTCATGTATTCTCTATGGGGCTCTGAAGTGCGCTCCCTCTTAAGTTGGAACAAAGTAGACACTCAAGCTTCTTTTCTGAGTTAGCCTCCCTACAGTGCCGTATACCTACCTACACTACTCGACACGTCGAATGCTGGAAAGTTTCCAAATGTAATAATAACTATGGGTATCAAATGTTAAAATACGCGCTCCCTAAAATACTAAATTGGCTAGATGAAAAAAAATTTAACATTGCAGAAATGTCTTTCTCTGAACTTCGCGGTGTGTTTTTAGATCTGAAACCATAATAAAACTACTATTTTTGCTTTCAGACAGTGCTTGTATTATGATTGTATAATTTCTCAATGTTTGCTCTTGTAACATTTTTTGCACCACCAAGTTGTATTTCATTGACAATAAGGGGGCCATGGGCTCGTCAAGCTGTCTCGACACAGCTTTTTTCCATGGTCTCCTCCATTGATGTACCATTGATGGAAATAAAATGCATTATTAATATTATTATTATTATTATAATTTATCCCACGTTTTTGTGGGCTTTGTCAAGTGCCATTTTCTGCCGCTGATTCTTATGTGTTGCTGATTCTTTCATGTTGCTGATTCTTTCGTTTTGCCGATTCTTTCGTGTTGCCGATTCTTTCGTGTTGCCAATTCTTTCGTGTTGCCGATTCTTTTGAGTTGTTGATTCTTCAGTGTCGCTCATTCTTTCATGATGCTTATTTGTTCATGTTGCTAAAGTAAAAAAATAGTTTTTATCCATTTCAGGTTTGGTTTGGTTTGGTTCTGATTGTGGTTCAACGTCAAGTGTTTGGTTTTGGTTCTGTTCCAGTTCAGGCAAAAATTTGGGTTTTTATCAATTTTTTATTTGGTTCGAGTTTGGTTCTGACTCTGGTCCAATATCAAGCGTTCGGTTTTGATTACCGTAACATTCCGAGGTATAGCCCACCTAATATTGAGAGAAAATTGGATGAAAATAAGGAGTGGGCTAACTTTTGGCATACAGTCAAGAAAAGTTGAATACACACTATTTTTAGATCATGCTTTCTTGTCAAACTTGTTATTGTGGCAAGGGACGACAAAGCAAAGATGGCTGTACTGCCTAGTCAGCGATGTTCACTTACATTCTGCCATAGTTAACTAGCCGAATTTACACCGAGGTCATCATTGATCCAAACACTACGATTACAAGTGGGCTATTTTACGATGTTCAAAAGCAAATAGCAAATAGAGCAAAAAAATAGAGGTGGATTACCTTTCGAGGGTGGGGCATTTCTCGGGATATTATGGTGTGCTCTGGTTCAGGCAAAAATTAGGGTTTCTATCAATTTTGGGTTTGGTTTGAGTTTGGTTCTGACTCTGGTTCAATATAAAGCCTTTGGCTTTGGTCCTGTTCCAATTCAGACAAAAATTTGGGTTTTCATCTATTTTGGATTTGGTTTGAGTTTGGTTCCGATTCAATATCTAGCATTTTGTTTTGGTTCTGTTCTGGTCAGGCAAAAATTTGTGTTTTTATATATTTTGGGTTCAGTTCGAAATTGATTTCAATTCTGTTTCAACATCAAGCGTTTGATTTTGGTTTTGTTATGGTTTGGTCAAAAATTTGTTTTGGCCCATTTCAGGTTTGGATTCAATTGTGATCCTGGTTCAACATCAAGCGTCCAATTCAGGTTTTGTCCCGTTCAGAAAAAAATCATTGTTTTGATCCAGATTTTTGTTTGGGTCCAATTCCAACACCCTGCTTGCAAAACTTTTTAGAAGCACATAAAATTGGGCAACCAGAAACAGGGAAAGAAGTGAGCCAAGAAGGCAGTCACCCGAGATCGACCAGGGGCCCAGGAGAACAAGAGGCATCGGCAAAAGGCGATAGCCGTGTGCTTTATGACATCCAGCAAGCTGCCCTGGGATGTCCCACTCGTGGAATCACAGTTTGGTTCCGGTTCAACATGAGCTGCTCTATTTCAGTTTCAGTTTTGTTTTGGTTAGATCAGAAATAACCATCTTTAGCCTTTTTTTTTTTTTGGGGGGGGGGGGTTTAGTCAAAAAATAATTCTTTTTATCTGGTTTTCAGTTTGGGTTTAGTTCCGGCTTACTATCAAGTGGCCAATTTCTGTCCTTGCTTTTCACCCGTTGGGTAAAAAAATTATGGTTAAGGACCAAGTTTTGGTTTGGATTTGGTTCTGGTTCAATATCAAGTATTTTATTATTTCAGTTTCAGTTCTGTACCGGTTTGGTCAGAAGTAATTACTTTTATATGGTCTTTTGGTTTGGGTTTGGCTCAATATCAAAAGGTCTATATTTTTTATTTTTTTTGGTTTGATCACAAATAATGGCTGTGAACTGATTTTTAATTTGGAATGGGTTCTGGTTCAATACTAAATGTTCCATCTTTGGTTTTGTTCCGGTTCAATCAAAAATAGTGGTTTTAATCCAGTTTTCGATTTGGGTTTGGTTCGACATGCTGCTTGTAAGAGGATTTAACATGCACATAGAGTTGGTAAGCTGCAACGTTTCAAGAGTGCAGTCACCCGAGGTCTGCCAGGGGCTGGCCAAGCCAGGAGAACAAGAGGCGTCGGCCGAAGGCGGTGGCCGTGTGGTCCATGACGTCCAGCAAGCTGCCCCGAGACGTCCCGTCCAGGGAGTTGCGGAACAAGTCCAGCCGCCGGAGCGTGGCCGAAGTGAAGGCCATTCTCTGACACTCGCTGGCCATGGCCGTAAAACGGCTGGAAGGACAAGTCACGCCCGCAATTTCACTCCGTGTCCGCTTTTTCCCCCACGCACCTCTGGTGTCAATTCTTAATGAAAGAAAGCAGTAGGTTATGAACAGAGCTCCTGCAAAATTTCCACACCACAAGGGGCACTAGACTCATTTTGTTTTTAGACGGGCTCACCTGACATCCCTCAGCACCTCCTCCAGCTTGAAGGTGGCGAGGTAGCCGAGAAGAGACCCGATGCAGCACACCACGACCGGAGGGAGAGCCATTAGCATTGCGAGTTCGCCCTTGCTCTCCACGCCGTCTCTGCGGTAGAACTTGGTCAGGGCGTCCAGGGAGGCCGAGAGGTCGAACTGAGACGGGGACAGGTGCTCCACTCTCACCCCTTCACGGCTGGATGGACAAAACGCCGAGTCATCGCGATTCACTTCTCTCTGCGGTAGATTCTCTGCGCTGTACAATCTTCTTAATGCAGAGTTGCATTCTTAGTGAACCTAATTTTGATTTAGCCTTGAAAAGCAAAGTGCGCCACGGTCGGAACAAAGCTGGTCGGCTGCCAAACGCTTGCATAGCAAGCTTTGCCGACCACATAACACAAACGTAAAAAAAGAAAACTCTAGAAGAGGAGAGGGGACTCTAAGACACTTCAAGAATACTTTGCCAGCTGTAAAAACTTTGACAACACTGTAAAAACTTTGATAACAAGAATGAAATAAATATTGTACAAAATGAGGACGTGGTGACGCTAGACACGGTGCTGCATGCCTGGAAGGCCGAGACTGAAGTTTGCTTCCACTGCGTTCCTCATGAAACGGAATTCATCGTACTAAGACGGTTTGATCGAGAGATCAAAATACAACTGCAAACTTTTGTTAATGCAGAATGCATTTTGACAAAAATGAAGTAGGGATTTGTGCAGCCGTCGCCGTGTCGTGCCAATGAAAGCGAGGAGTAAGTCACAGGGTCTCTTATGTTATCCCTAAGACGACTTGAAGGTGAAAGCCCAAGCGCCGATGTAAACGTGATCGCGAATCTCCGAAGACAACACTCTCTCTGACGGCGCACTCCTGGTGCCGTTTCATTGGCTCACTCGGATCGTGGCATCGGCTGAGGTCCCGGTGATAGCAAACCTCCGAAGACAGCGCGCTCTCTGAAGATGCACTTTTGACACTTGTTTGGCGTGTTTTCATCCTTGTCGTGTCATTGACTTATTTCGCTCAAGGACTTTTAAGGTCGACTGAACAATGAGACATATAAGGCTTTCCCCTTAAAAGTTACGTCATTAGCTAAATCTAGCGGATTAACTTCCGCTAAATGTAGCAAGACACCACCGTGGATCACACGAATCATACTCCTGATGCCGCTACAGGATACATGACCATGTGACATTATGGTGCAGAGTTGTGGTATCACATGATGTCACAGTGTCAACATTTTTAGATGTAGAAACATTGGGTGTCAAGTCAAAGAGCCACGTGTCACATAGTCAGGCCACGTGGCCGTGTTAACACGGTCATGTGACACCATGACTTGACACCGTCACACTGTCAAAACCCTAAGATTTGCACACATGTTCCATAAGTGCATACACACAGGATTCCGCACACGAGATTTGATGCCCGACATGACTAGATGTAATGATGTTGACACCGTAACGTGATGCGGCACCACGACTACACACCGCGAGTCACGTGGAACGTGACGTTCGCATGTGTCATGAGGCCTCGGACAGCCCCTGAGCATGTCACGTGACCACGTGGCCCACAGCCGCTTCCCGCTAAATCTAGCTGATGTAGGCACACTAGGGCTAGGGCGACGCGACAGCTGCACAAAATTTAAACCACGTCTCTGTTAAAATGCATTGCGCACAAACAAGATAACTGAAGACCTCCTTCCCACTTATAGTCGCTGATAACTGGAAAATATGGAGGGTGGGCCATGCTCCAAGCATCTCATTATCGCTCGTAGCCAACAAGATTGTGGCCTTCACGGCCTTCACTGACTAGAAGGCTGAATAACGAATCACGAAACAAGGAGCGCAGACATAGAACGTCACGCCCTACATTTCTTGATCCGTCGGCGACTACTGCGAACAATTTCATTTTCGCGAGCGCAATATTTTTAGACGTCTGGGTTTTGGGAATGCTTTGCAAGCACAAAACTTGGCAATTGGGAGGAGTGCGCTATGTGTTCTTTACCATATTGTAAGATACTCGCGTGATCCGTTCTTCGCAATTCCTCGAGTCGCGAAATTCATAAAAATTAAGTTGCTGACAGGAGCAGCCAGCCTCTGACTCACCTCAAACTTTGGTACGAGGACACCGTCCTGAGAACCGTTGGACTCGACTTTTCCGACAGGACTATCTCCACCGGCTGGAGCGATTCCAGCCTCTGCTCCAACTCCCCTCCGCCGGAGCTCTCTTGAAAGGAGTCGTAAAGCACTTCGCCCGTCGTCGGTTGCACTGCCTGCAAGACGTCAGCCCGCAACACTCCTTCACCGAGATAGGTGCGTTGGTGCACCATGTACAAGACAATTCACTTGAATCCCAGGTCGTACTGACCACAAGTCAGTTGTTTCCTGACCAAGTGCATGCCGACTGCTGTAATCGTAAAAGGTTTGGCATCAAGTCGTCAGATGACACCGCTATACTGGCAGTTTATTGCACTTTGTCTCATTCTGATGGCTCATGTATCTTGCAAAATGAAAGACTATGACGGCACCGGCGTAATATACCTGAGACAATTCGTTTTGGTCTTTAGTTATGTACATCATAAGTTGGTTGTTTCCTGACCAAGCACATTCCGATTGCTGTCAATGTAAACAGTTTAGTGTCTCGTTTTGTCGCAAGATGGCACACGTATACCTGTTCTTTCTCGTGCTTTGTCTTCATCTAGTGGCTCGGGTATCTCGCCGAATAAAAGGTTGTGACGTACGTCTAGAGACAAAGTGCATCCTGACTGCTGCAATAGTATAATTTCTTGTTCAGTCGTAAGGTGGCAGTACAATACTCCCAGCTTCTCGTGCTTGGTATCTCGAGCTTTGCTTCAGTGTATTTTTTCTCGTGTATTTCTCCAAACAAAAGGCTACGACATACATATAGAGACAAAGTGCATCCCGATTACCGTAACTGTAAATAGTTCAACCCTTTCCTTAACGCACCTATTTAAGTCTATCAGTTCGGTCGACAGATTTCAAACCCACAATTAAACGTGTTCAGCGCCGTTCTTGGACATGCGACGCCATCAATGACGTTATGAAGGAGCTCTACCTTGAGTTTCAGTTTTTGCTTTTCCACATGGGGGTCAATTTTTCGCGATTGAATCAGTCATGACTTCCTCGTCACACGCTGAAGCTCCTCAAAAAAACATCATCCGACTCGCAGTTCTGGTGCACACGCAATGAAGTTTGTGGATGAAAGTGGCAGCAGTGAGTCAGATGATGACGTTCATTCAATGGATTTGAGTTTCGATCGTGGCAGTGGGTCGATTTAGCTGGGATTATCCGCAGGAGCGGTATGTTTCGTTTTACCTGTTAAGAGTACTTACTGCATTGCCTCCGTGAACTTCTGTGGACATACTGGAAGTGTTCCGAATGCATTATTTTTCATCTGCAGGGTGACAACCTAATATAGATTCGATTTATGCCATCAGCAACAAAACAAGAGGAGTTTTCTTTGGAAAGGCGGCGCGGTCCCGACCCCGGCATGACAAAGTCTAACTTTTTTTTCGTCTACAGAACAAGAAGTTTTGCATAGAGACTTTTCAAAGTTGCAAGATTTGTACCTTGAAGAGCATGAAGTATGAAACATATAAATATTCTTAATTTTTTTACTTTTAATACTCTGCAAGGCACATTGAGTTTAAATAAAAACTTCCATGTTGGTTACACAAAATTTTAAATTACTTTTTTTTTTTCTTGTGCTATAAATAAATGTTTGGTTTGACATTTACATTTTTGAAAAGAGAATTCCTTTAACTACATTTCGGTATGCTTTGTCACATTTAGTTGTGCAATTCGTGGCTAAACAATTTTTTTTACCGAGACCACCCCACGACAACCTTTTTCCTGCCATAAGGAAAAAGTTAATTTCTTGTTTAGTCGCTGGATAGCCCCACTACACCTGAGGCTCTTCCTGCTTGGTTTCACAAGCTTTGCCTCACTGTATTCACTTGCAAAATGAAATAAATAAAAGGTCATAACATACATCTAGTGATGAAGTAGGAGCCAGACAAAGCACGAGACACAAGGGAGCACCAAATTAATAATAGATAAGCACCAGGAAAGTGGCACCATCCAGCAAGTCATTGTGATGATAATGATGATGATGATGATTACACTATTTACAGTACAATTTTTATACAGCAGTGATCTTCTGCAAAGATGCACCAAGATGCAGTGGGGGAAAGGCTACCGAAATTTCAGCGTGCAATTATCTGAGTCAAGATTCTCAAATAGTAACCCTTATTCTTTTTGTTTTTCTTCTTTTTGTTCAAACTGCTCGGGAGTGGAGGGCCCTTCCAGTAGAACCGATATATGTTATCAATAATGACATCTTTTATGACAGGATGCAGAGAAGCGTGCTCAAGTGAAAATGTAGTACTTAATGTTTGTTGATTGCATTACTGAGAATGTCTTTTGAATGTGTTTTTCTTTTGTTCCCCCCTGCATAATGCCTAACGGCGCAGCAGGTACTTCTGTAAATAAATTAATAAATGACAAAGGCTTATTTTTGTGACTTAGAAAACAGTGTAGTCAGTTACTGAGGTATTTGGCCTAGGAAGGGTCTCGAAGGGTACTCTTTTGGCATTGACAAAACTTTACCCTATGCACAGAGTGAGTTTAAAGAGAGGGTAAGCTCCACTGTTTTTATGATGAAGGTCACTGTTCAGAGATATAAAACTGATCTTGAGGTTGGGCCTAGGCCTCAAATAAAAAGAAGTCATTAACATAATTCATTTTGAAATGAATGAAAGACATTCATTCCTTTACAATGACGAACCTCCAAAAAAAGCAGTCTCCTGGCAAAACGTCAGGTGCCAATCTGACGTTTCCAAAAGGACCCTTTGCGAAAGCTACAAAGTCGCTAAAATGTGGAAGCATGTACAGCACTCATTTTTCAAAAATATGCTGCATCAAAAAATTCAAAGAACCAAACAATCATCTGTATGTTGATGCTGCCAAACTTTCACTCGCTGTCATGCTTCTTCACACCGTTTTTCCACACAGCCTTTAGCACTGGAGTGATATCTGCAAGAAATGCAGACTAATAAACAGAAACTTTATTTTATCGATATAAATTTTCATTTATGAAGCCGAGTCATGTGTGAAATAAATACTATAGCAAAGCAGAAACCTCTGGTTCCCAGGAAAAACAAACAAATTATTAAACAAATATTAGCCCGACCATAATGGTACCCATTTCTCTGCAATACATACGTAAGAGGATATCGCAGCTCCCATATGCAATTCCAATGGCAACTTTTTTTCTCAGCAACCACCAAACGGATTAAATTGGGAATGGTTTTATTAGAAATATCATAAAAAATGGAGTAATACTGTGGCACTACATTTCCCGATCTAAACGTTAAAATTGTTTTACGGGAACTTAAACTTGCTCGTAAAGGCCCTATTTTCGTTCTGTCCTTCATGAACATTTAAAAATAAACCAGGGCCTAAATACAAATTCAGGTGCCACAATATTGAAGACCAAGACTTTATGAATATATCTCTTACAAGATATTTTTGCCAGAGATTCTCATTGTGGTAAAATTTAACTAAGTTTGTGGCCCATCAAAATGCCAGAAATCCAGCTGTCAGCTGGCGCCATCTACCGTAGAATACCGTGCATCCGCCCATTCCATATTAAGCGCCGCCCATTACCAAATTTGTGAGATCTGAGAAAATACACACAGTACATTTATATGTAAAATTGATGACCGGACAAGCGCCCATCCCCCAATTTTTTGCGATTATCTCCAAAGTTTGAGTGGGCGCTTGCCCGGTATTTTACGGTATGAGCGTGTCGCTAATACTACCTCTTGAAATTGCGCAATGTGTTTTTGCGCCCTGGACTAGTACTTACATCTTCAAGTTCTCGGGCTGACGGTCAAGATTTTAAGAAAAAGTGCCTCTCAAAACTTTTTTTTTTGCGAGCGAAGATATTTTGCGGGTTATCGCGATAGTGAGCAGTAAGTTGTCCATCGCCCGAGCGCGTCCTTGGGAGGATGTTCCGGTGTTTGTTGGTGTTTTGGGGTCACACAAATGCGAGTGAAAGGTTTCTTGTTTTTTCCTTTCTTGTTCAGCGGCAAAGATATTTTGCGGGTGGGTGTGAGTCATTAGTTTTCAATCGCCAGAGTGCGTCATTGGGAGGATGTTACGTCCTAGTTGGCGTTTTGGGTCACGAAAATGGGGGTGAAAGATTTCATGCTTTAAGGGGCCCTTGCGTGAATCCTGAAGTTACCAAATGCAGGCAGACAAGAGCTACCAAAGCGTCAAAAGGGCGATAATGTCTTACCACTTCTTGCTGTTTGAAGTAGGAAAGGTGATTTGATTTGGCGATTTCAAATATTCTGCAGAGATGCATTTAAAATGTTTACATATTTTATATGCGGAAGAAACATACGTGAGTTTGTCGATTTTGTTTTAATTTCGACATTCGCTTTGCATATCAACTTGTGGAGGCTGATTTCTACCGTAATAAAACAAACATTGCAAAAATTTCTTCAGTGAAGCTAAAAACAAAACAAGGTTTTTGGTAGTGGGCGTCACACGTTTCTATTTGGAAGTTGTGAAAGTCTCGCGCTGAAGATTCTCTGTTTGACCCGAACCAACACATTCTTTATTCAGTATTTTATGAAATAGAGGCGAATGTATTAGACAAGAACCCGAACGCCTTTTATTATGGTGTTTGTCGACTGCACGTCTTGGCTGCGATGAGCCCTTGGTCGGCTGCTACTGTCGGGCGGAGAAGAAAATTTCACTGGAGAAAAGCTCGCCGGTGAAATGCTCACCGCAAAACTGACAAATGCGGAGAAAAGCTCATTTACGAAATAATTTATTCAACAATTAAAATTTAATATTCTCGGTATTGTTCGCACTGCGGTGTTTATATTTAAAACTCACGTCCACACTTTGCTCACCGCTCATGCTGCACTTTTTGCGTGTTCGTATAGTTGTAAAACCAAGTGTTCTTGTTCAGTCCCAGAAGAATAGCTTACTTTCTAAGAAAAATGGGGAAGAGGCAGACGAATCCACAGTTTTGCAGAATGCGAACAATAAAAAAAAGTGAGGAACTCATTTTTTTTTTTTTTTCTGTTATCATTTACATGGAAACAGGACATTGCCTTAAAGTTGAGTACTACGAACAGCAACAATGTGACCTCCATCTCGGCACCCGACGACTCCTGACCTCCCAAAAAGTATCAAGTCCGTCTTTGGCCACATCACCGAAAGAGGTCATTGTTTACTACGAAGCAAAAGAAAAATGGAACATAGTATTGCCGCGTGCACAGCTGGCCAACTA